GTCCGGGTTTAAAGGTTGTCATTGTTAATATTTAGGGTCGAGTTAACTTTGGGTCTAAGGTTGGGTCCGAGTTCAGAAAAATGGTCCAAACAATATTTAGGGTCTGGTAAGGACAAACTTTAACTCGTCCTAACCTGGCTCATGCTCACCCTATTTATTGTGATTCATATCTTTTAAGAGGAAAATAACAAAAAATGTTTAAGCCACATATATACCTTCAAAATTTTATCAACTATATACATGCTCATCATTGCTCATGCTATACTATTTTGCTTTAATTATCTCAATTATATAAGCACCAATTAAATGCGAGTATGGTCTGAAAAATATAGTTTATTTCTAAAATCTTGTGTGTCGATTGCACTTTATTAAAAGAATTCACCAACCAGCCGACACAAGAATTATAACACAAAAATATTGAAGTCAAAATCTTTGTCAGTACCATACCATTTAATTTAAGGAAGATCAAGTCCCATTTTATGAGAGTTTAGTGCAAAAAGAATCTTAAATGTTTCACACTATGATTCCAGACTGTATTTTGTGACCTTTCATTTTAAGTTTTAAATATGTACATTTCCGTTGATAATGACTAATATGTGGAATAAGTTCAAAAATTTATTATTAAAGTAAGTGGATCTTCTTCCTACATTATATATCAATATTGATGGGAAATTCAACACAATAACAACACAATCTATAATAGAACAATATGCAGCGGATAATAATTTCTCATACTTGCAATAATCTATGAGGAGCAATCAACAAATATGGCAGCAACTAAAAATAAAAAACACAAAGAGACACACAATTTTAACGTGGAAAAACCTTCTCAATGTGAGAAGTATACAACCACGGGCACAAGTCAATAATAGAGCTTCACTATAATCAAATCAGTTTACAAGAGAGTCTCAAGATGTAGCACAACTCGTGTTCAACAAGTGTACAAAGCAATAGAGCAATAAACTTGAAAAGAAGAACAATGAAGAACCGAAAATCATTTCTTCTCTTCTCTCTCACTTTTCTCTTGCCTCTCTTTCTATCTCTCTTACTTTTCTCTTTTACGTCTCTTACTAAAATAAGACATATCTTGACCTAAATAAGTAATACCAATGAATTTGCTCATATTGGATATTTCTCCACATAGGAAGAGAGCCCAAAAACCATAACAAATACTATGAATATGAACTAGGACTTCTCACAAAATCTTTGGACTACCATTATTACTTCAAAAATTTATGTTTTTTAATTGATCTACGTTAATTATTCTTATTTCTCGTAATAACAATTATTTCCATATATATATATATATAAATATAAAAGTAATTAGAAAAATGTGTCATAAAAATACACAATTTAACTACATGCATACATCTATGAATGAGAATAATCTATTATATAAGGTAAAGTTTGTGGATATATGAACATGGCACTCTGTCCTATAACTTTCATTAGACAGTTAAATCTTCTAACGAAAGTTCTCATACTTGTACCAATTAATTATATTTTTTATAGGAAGCAATAATATAAATATCTTTGTTTTGGTGCAAATAATTTATTGAAGGTGTGACTATATTAGGAGCTGCTCATTTAACTCAGCGTCATTCGTGGATCTAAGCAATGTTCCCTCAATTATGGGCTATCTACTTACACCCCCAACGTTTCTGATTTATATATATTAATATGTTAAAGCAATAAGATCCACTTACTTCCTCGTACCCATGAATGATAGGGAAGTCTAATAATTTGAATTAGTAATTATATCTAAACCATTAGATCTCCTAGAATTAATGATTAATATATTGAATAAATTTAAAAATTTTACTTTTGGAGTAAGTGAATATCTTCTCTATAATAAAAGTTCAATTCCTGATATCAACATTTATTAGGAGAAATAGTCGCACACTTCAAATTTCTTACGTGAGAAAATAATGTTAGTTATCGGAAAAAAATATGTTAAAGGAAAATTGATATGATATTTTCACAAGTGATGATTCTTTCACAGATGGAGAAGTACCTACTTTCATTTACTCTACTATAATATTAGCATTTTTTAGGCTTTAGAAAAGAGGTATCTCGAAGTTTTGAATTTCTAGATATCTTGGTTTAACAACACCCTTAGTAAAAATAAAAATGGAGAACTAGATACTTATGTTTTTGGGAAATGATTTTTGGTAAGCTAATTTTTTCTCACATATAAGTCCTCATTTTCTATTTTTTATGTCTCATTTCAATCTCCTAACTTTGTTTTAATTATGGTTTCTTAGTGTCAAGTGTTTCTTTCAAATCATGCAAGTAAACACATATATCATATGTCTCGATGATGTCACACAATTTAATAGATGGATTAAACAAAATCATGGACTAAAATGAGATAATAAATATGAGAGTCCAAAATGATATGAGAATTAAGTTAAATAAATAACAAAAATTTAATTTTTCCTATATTTCATAATGTGTGAAGTTGTTTAAATTAGATAATTAGATTGCACCATATAGTTGAAGAGATTTAAATGTGAAGCATATAATCAATTGTATAATGTTAAGCTTTTACGAAAAGTATTTAAACGATTGATGTAATAATGAGAAAAATAAAAATAGACATACTTCACAACATCTCTTGCACATTACTATAAATCACATTTGACTTAAAGATAAAACAATATATTTTGCACTCATAATAAATAGAGAAAAAGTTAGAGAAAGAAGCAAATTTATAATTTTGATATAAGTTTTTAAATTAGGGATGACAAAAAAATCGTACTCACATGTACTCTTCTAAACTCAACTTGAATTTAAGAGGGGAAATCTGATGTGATTGAGTCTGAGTTTGAGTTTTAGCCGAGTTCAACTATCACGTTTGGGTTTGGTACAATTGATACTCTATCCGACCCGACTTGAAATATTAAATTTCATATGTGGTCCCTTTCTCTCTCTCCCTCCATACAACACCTCTTTCGGGTTATACACTCAACCGTTCTCACTACATCTCATTTGTTGAATTATCACTCATAATAATTTGATGTACTATTTACTTTGACAAATATATAATTGTCTTATATTGCACTCATATTTTAAATCTATCAAAGATATATAAATTCTGTCATCTTCACCTCATTCAATATAGTCTAATTATTCGGCCACAAGAGGGTAACTTTGTTGAGGGCCACCATGCTGCATAAGGCCCATTTATGCCCCTAATTTTGTAGGGTATGTGATTTAATTAACCATACTTATATATTCTCTTACCAAATTCTCGCATTCATAAGAAAATGACACATATTATTTGTAAATCAATTAATAATAAATAAATATAACTTTTAACACGTGTTACGTTTCTGATGGTGTAAGAGGGTTCATAAGAGGATTTGTAAGAAGATATATTATTTTACTTTAACTAATCTATTTATTTTGGGATAATGAATTTGTTACATTTCATTATTATAACTATTATTAGCTTACAGAAATTATAATTTGTGTGATACATTGTTTAATTGTATTATTGTAGACTTTGAGGCATTAATATTATTATATTTTTTTTATATTCTCACGATGGATCCATAAAATGTGAGGGCTAAGTGTAATGTTATGGTATAGTAGGGGTGGCAATGGTAGATAGTTGTCCCCAAGTATTTTTTTTTTTTGTTGTAGATTAAGTAACATATAGACGATGATGTTGTTGATTATAATGGTATCAAAAATTGAAATTTCTAAAATAAAATAATAATTATAAAATTATTTTTAAATACAAAGAGTACTTTAATCCACGAATCAAGTAAGAGTACAATTAAAGCACATGATCTAAGACATAAATATTTATCAATCCGAATCCACAAAGTGAGAGGATCTAAAAAATATCACTTTGGCAGCTGTAATTCTTAATTTGAGCACTCATTAAATGCAAATTACCATTATTAAATAAAACGTATTAATGCATGAATTTTATATATTGTCATTGTATCCTGAAAAAATAATGTTTAATTATTATTAATTTTCAAACAAATAATTCAAATGAATAATATAGTAATAAATATTTATAAATTTTTATACCGATAATTAGACTCTAAAATGCTTTTATATTTGTACTATATATGCATATGACAAGAAGCATTTGTTACAATTAATGGCATAGCAGTCTCTAGTAGCTAGAAAATAGAAATCTCGTCAAATTCATTAAAAAAACAATGTTTGAATTTCGTGAAAGTAAATAATATTTTATTTTTGATATTTTACTTAAAGTTAGTAAAAGGATTTTGGATTATTACCCAATCAACTTTGTAGTGGGTGGATGACGTTACACTAATTTAATTTGTCACTAGTGTACCAAACTCATTGAAATTACATAGCCATATCAGAGTCAGAGTCTGAACACTTTGAATTGGACTTGTTTCTTGGCATATCAATTTGATGCTGATTGAGGAGATTGAACCGACAAGATTCCATGATTATCATCATCATCCACATATATGTAAGGATACATTCTTCATTGAAATCTTAAATATGCATATTATTATCATATTAACAAATTTTAAAATACATGTACCAAAAAAAATTATATATCTTTCTATCTTATTATATTTATTCTATTCTATTTAGCCATCAATTATATAGAAATCAAATGGTTTGAATCAGTGACTAAATCTAAACCATTAGATTTCCTTATAATTAATGACTAAGATGTGAAATACTCTTTGAGTAAATTGATTTCTCATTTTAAGAAATTTTCTAATAATACCACTCCCAAAACTTGAATCTTGACATTTGATATTGTACGATATCGAAAGATCTAGTAATACGTTATACAACTAGAGTGTCTCCTTGTTAATCAACAAGATTTGATCTAATGATGTATGATCTTATTAGATCATCAGGAGATCAAAAAGTTAAGTATTTTATTCATAGGAACGTCCGTTATTATGAGAGACAACCACACACTCTAAAATCGGAGAGGAAGTAGTATTACAAATAAAATAGTTGAAACCGCGTAGGTTGGGAAATGTACATTGTCTCCATGAGACATGTGATGGGTCTCCTCTTCAACCATCTTGCTTTTTAATAAACACTTCCATTCACTTCCCTACTCTTATAAGACCCCATAAACTATTGAACCTATAATATAATAAAAACCATATTCACTACTCCTATTATTACTCTATCTATACACACTTCCTTTTTTCTCTCTCCCAAATTGATTCAAAGTTGTGGGTAAGGGCCAATTATCTCTACTCTATTCTACATTTAGATCTTGAAGAAAGCTAAGCCTATATTGGTTTCACAAATGGCTCCACTCATGTACCTTGGTTTCAAAAAGGTACTCTTTTTCTATATTCTTTTGTTCATTTTTGTTTCTCTTTGTTTCAATGCCTACTCAGAATCTCAACTTGAGAGCAAAATGGTGTCTAATAGTACTAGTAGTAGTGGTATAATTAGAAGAAAAATGTTGGAGTTTGAGGATGAAAAAGTTGAAGAGTTTGATGAGCAAACCTTGAAAAAGAAATCTACCAAAAACAACACCAAGTTAATGAAACCCAACAACTTGAAAAACCAAACCAAAACCATCAAATTCAATAACATCATTTCCATCAAAAACCAAACCACACTTACCAATAAGATCAAGAAGCTCAATTCCACAACCATTAAGATCAAGAAGCTTAATTCCACTTCAAAGCTAAAACCTTTGACAAATTCCTCAAAATCTAGTACCACCCCATCTTCCATTATTTCTACCAAATCATTGGATCTCTTGGAAACAACTAGTGGTAAGAACAAAACCACAAAACCCATCAAGGACAACAAAGACAAGAATACCAAGTTGGATCTTGAAACTAAACCAACATCATCACAATTGAAGACAAACAAAGAGAACAAGAAACAAGTACAACCTAGTTGGATGTTTGAAGAAAATGAAAATGATTTGGATTTTTCAGAGTTGAAAGATCTACCAATAAAGTTCCAACAATCATTACTCCCTGATCTAGAGAGAATCTCAAAATCCTCAACAGCTTATATAACAAAAGCTAACAAGGAAATCACAAAAGGGTTTAAACCTTATGTTGGTAACAAATATGCACCAACTATAGCAACCTTATTATCATGTTTTTTTGCATTAATACCTTTACTTTTTGTGTCACTACTTTTCAATAGAATCAAATCTTATTTCTCTTTACAAAAACTCTTAATCTTCATCCAAGCCTATCTCTCTATATATTTTTTCATTCTATTCCTCTCTTCTTTAATCACTGGCCTTGAACCTCTTAGATTTTTCTATGTTACTTCACAATCCACTTATCTATGCCTTCAAGTGCTTCAAACTCTAGCTTATGTTTTTTACCTTTTGTTACTATTAATGTACCTTGTTTTAGTTTTCTCCACTGATTGTGGGCTGGGCTCAAGATTCTTGGGCTTGGCCCAAACCTTTGTGGGCTTTTCTATTGGGCTGCATTACTATGTAATGGTGTTTCATAGGGTTGTGTTAAGACAAAGTCCTAAGACTAATTGGAAGATGCATGGGATTTATGCAACATGTTTTTTTCTCATTAGTTTCCTTGCTAATGCTGATAGAAGGAAGAAGAGTTATTTAGAAGAAGGTGGAGAAGAAGGAAAGAAGAATTAGCTTTTATTTATATATGCCTATAATTTTGCTTTTTTTTTTTATTTCTCTCTACTCTTCATTTTATTATAGATTAAGATTATTAAGGAAAATAAACAACTCGATATTGTTCATGTAATGTTGTAAAGCTGCAAGGCTTTTGGCTTTTGAGTTGGTCAGCATTAATTCAGATTCCTTCCATAAATAAGTTGAGCTGTTGAAAATATACTGTAATGAAAATGAATTATTATCCCTCTTGATTTGCCTGAATTTATATCATTTCTTAGCTTTTCGTTTCTTGTTTTCATTTGTATGTTTATACTTTATAGTGTAGAACCAACCTACTATATATATATTATTCATTGTTAATTAAGTTGGTCCACATTTTTTAAGACCTTTATTTGACCTGTAGTATTTCTCAAGCAATATCTTGGTAGATAATTTTAACACTTATGCTAAAATTAGGTTAATGGGACCTAATCACATGAGAACATTATTGTGAGAAATTATCTGAATGATTAAGATTAAAAAATATTTGTACATGATTATCATGTGATTAATAATTAACTTCTAATCCTAATTATTAATATTAATTAATATTAATTGTAAGGTATAAATTTATTGTTTTCACAGTTTTCATATGAGAACTGTTCTCACTTAAGTTTATAAATATTTTGTCGACATTAACACCTTTACCTATGGAATCTCTCCTTTGACACCTTCTTTGTGTGTTTCCCTCATTTGACTTTTGTCTTTAAGTTCTATAAGTATATTATTTAAGTAATATAAATTTTTTTGAGAAATCAAATCCAATATTTTTCGATATATATGAAAACATCATTTTATAAAATACAATTTTTTAATAATCTTAATTTGTATTCCATACAAAATGATTCTGATTAAATTGAAGATCCAATTCCAAATTTTGAAGAGAAACCCGAGATCCAATGACCTTCTTGATTTCGGATGACACCTTCTTCTCCAATTGTTTTATCTCTCATATTGCAACTTCCATCAACATCCATCTATGTTAACCTTCACCTTTCCAATTCCTAGTCTAGGCAGAGAAATGTCATTAGAAAAAATATTAACGTAGCATCAATCTCTAAAATCATAATGTAGCATCAATCTCTAAAATCATAATGTATATTTATTGTGATGTAGCCAATATCCCATTGTATATATTATTATTAAATATAGTATTTTTCTGTTTCCTCCAAGCCCATCAAAAACCCACAAAAAATAACCGACCATGACTCAACCTTGAATTCACCACCATAAAAAATAACCTTCAATACCTAGATAATAACGAAGGATAAATATGATAATGTTATAAGTAATTTGCTTATTTTTATTATTATTTTGTTAATTTGAATAGAGATTTTGCTATTGGATTAGTTGCATAATAGTTTTCAGTGGAAGTGATTTCGCTATCATATTCACTCACCAAAGCCAAACACTACCTACTTATTTAGAATCATGATACCCTATTTCCTTTATATCAGTTTAGTTTGATTTAAATTTTTTGATTTGATTCTTCTCCACTCTCCTAATTTTATGAAGCTCTAACTATTTGTGTTTGGTATTATGGATTGCAAAAGATAAAAGGTGAAAGCAATAAAAAAAAAGAAATGAAGGAAGTAATAAATGAATCATTTTGGAATGTCTGATTGTTTCTCTCAACAAATATCGCTGCCAAGATTAAAAACTCTTTATCTATGCCTTAGTATGATACTTGAAGATTTAGTAAGACTTTACACGACTAGACCAATGTCTTATTAATATTTTTCTTTTCATAAATATTTAAGAATACTACTAGAATAATGTGACATCTATTTTATTGCTCCATTTAATAACTTTAAAAAGTAAATAATGGACCCAAGTTGATAATGCATTGCCTTAACTTTTCTTCATATGGGGGCAAAACAATACTAAAAACCCTTATCATAGGAATGAAAAAATAGTAACATATAAGCCCATTTTACCATAACAATCATTTACAACGAGTGAATCAAAACAAAGACAAAATCTAGATTTGGTGTGTTGTGTTCCTTTTGGATAAAGTGACACGTTTTGGAAAATAGAAATATTGGGTAACACTAGAAAAACAAAACAAACAAAAGAGGGTAAAGAGCCCATCTTGGCCTTTAGGTAGAGACGACAATAAAAACCGAGTTTATGAGTTCCTGAATCCAATCCAGATTTAATAGGGAAAACCATATTTGATTGGGTTCGAGTTTTACTTGAGTTTAATTTTCAGATTCGTGTTTGAGCTAAAACTCTACTTTAACCTATCCCGAAGTAATATAATTCAATTTGCAATTGAAAATTCTATCACATACCCATTTTCTAAATTTCTACTTTGAATTTAGATATTATTAGTTCTTCAAACATGAAAGAAATGAAATAAAACAATAGAAATGATATAGAAAAATGAAATAAAATAATATCATAACTCTCATTATTCATTATTTTCGGATTTTGAGTGTGATGTTACCTTTATTTTCAAATACATTACCATTCATGAAGCTTGTTTTAATGAATGGGAAAGGGATTGGAATCTGAAGTGTTGGGTAGGAAAGTGAGGATTGGGAAGTGCAGAGATATTTGTCATCTATGCTGCTACTGCACAGGATTCCCTCAAATCACAAACACAATAACTTCACTTATAATTGGTCCAATTATTTTCTGACTACATGTTCTTGTAACTTCCATGCATCTCTAATGGACAAAGATTACCTGTCCCAAGCCAATAAAAATGTTTCATTTTGTTTTTAAAAAAAAAAATTATTCAAAGGGTAATATGCTATTGGTTCGAGACATGCAATGGGACACCATTCGGAACGAGTGATAATCATCCATCTCTAATATCTATCTATATATTCAATATGTTTTCCCCAACGAAAATCTTAATTTTATGATATTAAATACATGATTTTAAGGTGTAGTTTTTTTAATCCATGTTTATAGCATTATGTTCTTACTACTAAGATTATCCTTCACTACGGATAATAAAAATACTCCTACGTGTACCCATCAAAATATCTGCTATGGGTACCCACAGAATTAGCTCATGGGTGAGAACATGTATCATGATACCCGACTTGCAGATATCCACATATATATTTTAATTAAATAGTTTATATTTAATTAATATTAATTTAACATTATATTTGTCTATTTTATTATTATTTTATAATAAAATTTGGTGATGATATTATAATTATAAAATTATCATATACATATCATATTATTTAAGTAATAATTATTTTTATATTAGTTATTGTAAAATATAATTAAAATTGGAAACCCGTTGGGTACCCGCGAATAACTAATACCCACACGGGTACCCGCAAATAGTGTGGGTATGGACATGAGTATGCACTACCGTGCCTGTCCGCCATGTTGCCATCCCTATCCTCCACCTTATAGTAAGAAGCTAATCATTTTGGGTGTGTGACTACCTCTGTAGCTATTAGAAATTAAACTATTAACCTTTTGATCAATCTTATAATATGATCTTATACTAATAAATTAACGCCCGAAATTGCATTAGTTGTATAATTATATTTGGTGTTATTATATTTGACGGGACCATTCCGTCACGTAATCAAAAAATAATTTGGTTAGCATAAGAAAACGATGATGATGGTTGAACCTGAAAGCTTAGGTATCAGTAACTATAATCCTTTATAATAAAAAAAAACCGGGAATCCAACCCGATACTGAACCGGGTTTATTTCCATCAAATCCATCTCAAATATCTCCACTTCTCAATTCATTTTCGGTTTCGTTTCTATCAAAACTCTTGGTGCGATCGCCATACTAGGTTTTCTTCAAATCTCATCTTTCTCTATTTCAATTCCACACCTTACATCTATTCTTCGATTATGTCATAATTCAGCTTTATATTATTTGTTTATTCCAATTTGTGTATTTTTGTTGCAGATTTTGATCGTTGCTCCATAAATTTTTACTTGAACGGTTTGTGAAAAACGTTTGGTGTTAGTGATTAGTGAGCTAGAATTTTATGTGTTATAGAGTGATGGAGCATGCTTGCTTAACACTATCTACATAGCAAGGTTAGCCAAAATTTGATGTGTTGTAGAATTTGATGTGTTATAGAGTTATTCTTCTTTTATGAAAACAGAACCTGGAATTTAGCTTTTATAATAACACTTTTTGCTTTCATTTCCGTAGGAATCGTTTCTGCCAAAATCATTTTTAGAGAATCACTTTTTTTTTAAAGAATAAATAAGGGAGAGTCTCGAGGCACATGTAAAGTTGGTGCCTTGTGACCTGTTCAAATCGTGAAAACTTTCTCTTTACTTGTGGGTGCGGGGATTAGACTGCACACGAATTGGCTCCTCAAGTCCACCAGGTGGGAGCGCCATCCCGTGGGCCACCACTAATTTTTTTTAGAATCATGGGCTCATATGAAGCATTGACACTGATACATGTATTGGATATGATACATATCCAATATGTCGATACACATTCCGGAAAAATACAAGATACGATACGTTTGAGATACTACACATATAAAATACTAGTATTATATCTTGCAACACTTTCCGTTTGTTTTTACTTCCAAAGCTGTAATTCTATGATTATGCTTTTTGATTTGACGAGGTTATGATTTGGTCTATCTGTAGAGCACCATGCTCCATGGTATTTATATCAACATGATTATGTCCATGTAGTAATCGACATGCATATATAGATAAATCTGAAGTTTTCACCATGTGACTTGGAGGTCATGGGCCTGAGTCGTGGAATTAGCTTTTTGTATGTGCACGGTAAGGTTGTGTACCATTGACCCATATAGTGGGCTTGACCCTTCTTTAGACCCCACACATTGAGCTTTTTATCACGAAGTTGCCCTTTGCCCATTTTTAGTTTGACATGCACGTGGGACCCTCATTATTGTGAGGGGCATGGCGTGCCTAAAGATTGCTTTGTCTAGATATTTTAAGGACTGCAGTTCTGGTTGCTGATATATAATTTTTGCGTTGAATTTAATGTTTGCTAGCTTTTATCGCTCCTGACTATAAGAGGAGCAACCTCAACGCTTGAAATTTTTGGTACGGGAGAGGACAAGTTAATCTTCTGCTATGCCTTCCCTTCAGCTGTTGCAACTAACTCAGCATGGCCAGAGTTTTCTGGCTTCAAGGAGGTATTGACTTTTGCTCTATATGTTTCTCGTGGTGATGTTTAATCTCATATCGAGGTTGAAGTGACTTACCATTTAACTAAATTTGTGTGTCTACCGACCTACGACATTTAGCTTGCAATTTAGTTATCTATTTTATTCATAATGCTCACATAAATCCC